GTGTGTGTGTGTGTGTGTGTGTGTGTGTGTGTGTGTGTGTGTGTGTGTGTGTGTGTGTGTGTGTGTGTGTGTGTGCCAGAAAGGGAGGGTGATAGAAAAGGCAATTACAGAGGAAATGAGGCTGGTCTGTGTAAGTGTGTGTTTGTCTCCCCCTGCTGGCAGGGAGACTTTACTAACAGCCCATAAGGTTAAATGAATTAGCTTCTATTTCTTGTCATCGGGGTAATGTTTTTAATTTCAGGTGATAGTATGAAGGTGATGTTACTCTGGTGTCAACCTGAATGTAGTGATCTGGACACTATCGATACGTGCAACAGTTTCCTTTTATTCTTGTTACTTACCCAGGATGAGTACAAGCCAGATACCGACATTTCAGAGGTAGACCTGAAGAACGCAGTGCGAATCCACCACGCTTTAGCTACTCGTGCCACCGACTACAGCAAGAGAGCCTACGTACTGAAGCTCAAAACCTCAGACTGGAGAGTCTTTCTGCTGCAGGCACCGTAAGTTATCTGTCCTTAAACAGTAAAATTTTAGGTTTTGAAATTTTACAACTTTTTTTTTCAAGTTTTAATTTTGCATTATTTTTGATGAAACCATGTTACTTCGGTTTGAGAATGAATGTTTTAAGAGGATACGCAGGTGTAGAGGAGAAGGGTGTGTGGTGCATAATGATCTATGAATAATCTGTAAATAGCCCTGCTCTTAAGAAGAATTTCTGTGGTGGTTTAAGGTGCTAAAAAAGGAGTACCTACTAATAATCCGATAATGGAAGGCACTATCTCTCATTTGATATTCAGCATGCCTCAAAACACTGATTACACTATTATTGTGTCGAATGACTTCAGAACTGTTTCTGTGTTGGATTTGTCATTTAGATTTGAAACCTTAAAAGCTTTCAATTGAAAATGTAGGTGTGTAGTATAACTAGTTGGATGTTTGATATGATTTTAATTGCTCGGTTGCTGTCATCATTTTCCTGCTAAAATGAAACATACCACCATTAAAACTTGAATGAATTGGTTCTCTGTCTTTGTTTCTGTCTCTCTCCAGGAGTGAAGAGGAGATGATGTCTTGGATCTTCCGGATTAACCTGGTGGCGGCGCTGTTTTCTGCCCCAGCCTTCCCTGCTGCTATCGGCTCCATGAAGAAATTCTGTCGGCCCATCCTGCCGTCCTCATCCACCCGACTGAACCAGGTCCGCACTCAAGCACATGCACAGATGGTGGCACGCATTAGAAACACGAACTTCCTTCTCTTGCATCCCACAAGAAACATTATACACCAATGTCAGCATTCAGCATCCAGTACTAATTGCATATACCACACAGTTTATTTCAGCAGCATGCACAGTTTACATATGCTATTTGTATCTTCTTACATCTGATTGGCTGTTTTGGGGTCCTCTGGCATCTGTTTGCGCTGTGATTGGTGCAGGAGGACCAGCTGCTGAGTCACGAGAACAAGCTGAAGCAGATGAGCCTGGAGCTGGAAGAACACCGGAAAAATCTGCCCTCAGCTGACCCAAAAAGCAGAGAGTGGGAGGAGTACCGGCTCAAAGAGCACTACCTCGCATACGAGGTAAATTCTTTGTGTTGCTTTTTGTTAATTTCTCTGCTTTTAATTTTCTTTTTTTAACTGATAAACAGCTAATAGACCACGAATTATGACAGAGGAACATGTCTGCTGTATTATTTTTAGAGTCAAGGGTCACTTTATTTACCCTTGGTATTAAAAGCTAGGGTAGACAACCTGTTTTTTGGCAAATTGTGTTATTGGTCTCTTCTGTTTGACTCTTGATTAATTGTCCTTTGGTCTTTTTGTCTTCAAAAACACATCTCTCCCTCCACGCCCCTCTCTGAGCAGAAGACTCGGTATGAGACATACATCAGCCTCCTGCAGGCTAAAATACGCACAGAGACGGATGACCTTGAGAAGATTGAGGCCAGCGTGATGGGCGGCCTGATCATGGAGGGCGGTCTGGCCGGCCGAGAGTGCCACCTCCGCAAGACGCAGTCCTCGCCGTCCATCAGTCAGGCGCACGGTGGCCTGAACGGGAGGGCAACTGGATGCGACATCCCAGGAAAGAGGAGCTGAGGAAAGAAGACCAAATGCCACAGCCCTCAAAGCAGCATCTCTTCAAGCCAAACTAGTTAAATCCTACAAGTCCTTCTCGGATTTGCTGTTAGCATTTTATTTATTGTGCTCCATTCTTTAGTAAGCCATCACTATCCTTCCCAGAATTTATCAACCGTGATGATAAGTTCCTGTAATGAGCAATAGATAAGAAGAGCGTACGCTTGATACCCCACCACAAGCGACCCTGCCAAACCTCAGTTCTTTTAACTTTTGTTATTGCACATTACAGCGATCATAACTGTGATCACTATTTATAGCAGCATCGTCAGTATTAATTTTTGAACTCAGAGTGAAGAGTTGTCTTTAGTTGAAATGTGTTTTTTAGTTGTGAGCTGCAGTAGTTTATAACCTGTCGATATAAGACTGCACAGACACAGACTGGTTTCCTTTGCCTTGCTCCGCAGCCTGGGAGTCAAGCAGTGATTGAGATGGACATAGTACAGATGGTACTACTGTAGCATTTTGGCTTTACTTCAACTCGCGTTTACACACTCGGCCACTCACAAGACTGTGTGCTTTATGGACCTACAATATTGTTGGAGAATGGTGTCTGAAGATGCAACATATCTGTCCCGGAGATATAGGAACTCGGAGAAGAACTCAGGAGGATCAGATTCCTGTATAGCATATTTATTTATTTATTTAACCTTTATTCACCCCAGCAAGGGTTCCCCTCTCAACATTCACACATTTACATGCATTCACATGAGAGCAGGAGCTGCCAAGAGGAACCATAGTTTAAACTGTTCACTGAGCTGCTCCACCGGAGGAACTGGAGGTTGAGTGCCTTACTCAAGGGCACCTCGGCACTAGCTGTTGAGGGATTTAAAGAATACTGTTACTTGTCAGAGATCAAACATGTGTTCCTGTGATTTTTGAGCTGCCGCTTCCCCCCTCTAATACTAACCTGTGTTTAACTGTATGTTTCTGGAGAGGGCAAAAGCACTGTGCCATGTTATCCACTTACTGCTCTTTCTGTACCATAACTGAGTAAACTGAGCTGCCAGAACTCATATGTAACAATATATGGTTGGGCGTGAGGTTTCTGAAGACTGAAGGGCTGAACAGGAAAGTGTGGGTGGGCTGGTGTGTGCACATGCATGTGTGTGTACGCGTGTGCATTGGCGTGCTTTTGAAAGTGGCTCCAGTTAAGAATTTGAACTTGTAGGCGACAGGAAGAAGTAAATATAGCAGGGTCATGTTATTTGTATAAAGATTTTGTTGAGCACATTGAGAGAAAACAAGCCGACGGCCTTATGCTGAATAGCACTGCCGGCACAGTCAGGCCTGGATCTCTCAAAAGCATCTTCAGGACAAAGCCAGCCACGTGATAAAACGTGTTTTTAAGTCTGACTGATCTCTGCTCTGATTTATAACATGCTACATGGACCTATCGCAGCGTCGTTTGCCCTGTTATAATTTTTGGAATTTGACTTTCTGTTGCCAAGCTTCTTATTAGATGAAGATGTTTTTGGGAAAGCAGGCCCTGACCGATTTCAGATGGAGGCTGGCTGACAGCAGAGCATAGCAGCAGGACTGCTCTAGCGTAGTGGGCTAAAGTCAGGTAGGCTGACAGCATGCTGGATAGGAGAGGGGAACGGCGGCAAAACAACTCCACCAGCAAAGTAGCCATCAAAACACCCTCCACATGGGTGAGAAGGAGCTGATGGAGGAGAGACTTGTTTTCTTAGAAGAGACTGGTTTGGTTTACTTAGTACGACCGTCTCTGCCAGCCAAGAACAGGCAAAATGGACATCCAGCACACATTACTCCAAATTGAGGAAAACAACATAATGAGGCCGATTCTTCTGGAAGGAGGACTTGTGTAAGGTTGTGGGAAAAGGACATATGGTGGTATCTCTCTCTGTGAGCACCTCAATTGATCCTATATCCCCCAAACACACACACACATACACACGTTCTCTTTCTGTGTGATTTGTTATGTAATGACACAACTGTAGATCAGTGAGTTCAGCGCCCCCCTCACACAAACACAGTGTGACTCAGAAGCATGTAGACATAACCAGGGTTGCAGATATTGATGGGAGGAACAATTATATCTTTGGCTCCGGACACATTGCTTCTGTTGCTACGTACATTGTATTAACAGTGACTGATGGGATCTGAGATCCTTTTGGGACTTTGCTGGAAATCTGGAATCACAGCTGGAATCCTGGAACCTGATTCTTGTACAGACCAAAACGCTGAAACAGGAGCGGAGCTTTCAGAGAGGAAGTACTTTTTCTAAAGCTGTATTGTTAGGATAAATACCTGCTTTCTTACACGGAGACTTCCCCTTATAGTCACTTTGGCTGTTGTGCTAACCATTGTTTCCCAATGTTCTAGGTTAGGCCTGTGCTGTAATATAGGGTTGTGGAAAAAAAATAGTTGATTGTTATGTTTTATTTAAGTAAAAAAAAAAAAAAAGACAACTTCGGCACTTTGATGTCAGGATTGGATTTTTCTTTTTGTTTGTTTTGTTTGTATATCTGAACTTTTCTGACAGGATGCTCATACTATGTAAAGGACATATTTACTGAATATTTAGTCTGTGCTTCATAAAGTAAGCTTTTATACAGATTGATTGTGGTTGTAATTTATAAGACTGTCAAGACTAAAACAATGAAAAGCTAAAAAAAAAAAAATCCGTGCCAGTTTTTTAATTTGTGTTTTAATTTTTAATTTGTGTTTGTGTTTTTTAATTTCTTTGACATTCTGCAGACATGACTATTACTGTGTAATGCTTTTAAACGTCTCCTGTTTACAACTACGCCCACTTTCCTCCACAGGTCGGTGCACTTGTTTGAAAGTTGCTGCTAAAATGTGTTGCCTTGCAGTTAAACTGTCAGTTGTTAAGTTGCACATTTACCCATTGTGGAGCACGTTTATCGTAAACCCTCATTGGCCACTTTATTAGGTTCGACCCTCCCTTTTATTTTCCTTCAAAACACAAAGGTGCTGGAGACACTCCTCAAAGATTTTGGCACCTAATAAAGTTGCTTCAGATTTTTTAGCTATTTATCCATGACGTGAATCTCCTACATCCCACATCTCAGTACAGTAAACTCATTGTCATGTTCAAGAAACCTCTTTGAGATGATTTAAGCTTTGTGACATGAAGCTTTATCAGAGTGTGATCATAAAGGGAAGGACATGGGCACTAGCAATACTCAAGTAGGCTGTGGTGTTTAAAGCATGCTCAGTTGGTACTAAAGAGTATGATGATGAAATATTTGCAACACCAAGGGAGAATCGGTCCATCCTTTAATGTTGGTTGTGCCAAATTCTAATCCTACCATCCAAATATTCAAGGAGAAATCAACACTCCTCAGGGCAGGCAAACCTTTTCCAATCTGTAGTCCTGAGTTTTCTTTGCATTGTAACTTCAGTTTCAAGGCTTGATGTGTTCAGAGATCTTCTTCTGAACACTTGGTTGTAATGAGTGGTCATTTGAGTTACTATTGCCTCCCTGTCAGCTTGATGCAGTCTGCCCATTCTCTTTCTGACCTCTGGCATCAACAATCATTTTCACCCAGAGAACCGAACTACCGCTCACTCTATACACTATAGATGGATTTGGAGCAGATCAGCAGTTTTTCTAAAATACTAGGACCAACCTGTTTGGTACCAACAACTATGCCATGTTCTAAAGCTCTGTTTGAATTTCAGCAGGCTATCATAATCATGCCTGCATCCCTAATTGCATTATGTTGCTGCCATGTACTCAAGAGGTTGAACATGTGTACCTAATGAAGTGGCCAGTGAATGTATATGTTTATGTTACATACACATATTCAAAAACGAAGTTTCTGTAAAAGTTTAGCTATAGGTTGCTTAATGACAGAGACCGCAAACACACCTAGCATGTGTCTGTGGTCATGGCCATGTGTTTGTGGAACAAACAACCTACTTCGTGTGTGACGTGTTTAGTACACAACCATAAAGCCTCACAGCTGAGACTTTAGGTAAGAGCTAAGCGTGACTTTTTTTTTAAAGTTTAGTTGAAAGAACATGATAAATATTTAATTACACATTTAGCGCAGCATAACTATGTCACTATAATAATTTAATATGCTTAGTTTAAGACTATAAGGAACGAATATCCTGTAGCTGCCCACATATTAGTCACAATAACGTTATGGGTTTTTTTTTAAATGTCCACTCGACTATTTCCCCTTAGTTGTCATTTGCCCCATGTATATAAAGGTGATTCAGTAACAGGGTTAATTTGATACCTAACGATATAAAGAATTAGCCGATGTGAAAAAATAAACAGGTATGGTAGACCGTGTGCTGTGCCACGCGCTGCCTGTTACAGAGAGTGTTGCATTATCAATTGCAGCTGTAATGTTGCTGAATTTCCGGGTAGCTGTGTCTGCTTAAGGCTGGGATTATACCCGCACGCAGGCACGAACATTTAGACTCTGTGGGTGAGTAGTCCTGCACGTTTTACTGTTGCCAAGTCCGCTTGAAGGACGCATGCGTAGCGGGTGCATCGTTGCGTGCCATCTGCCTGGCTAGCGGTCACACGGACGTCCGCGATGGGGAAACTGTAACACTGTCCTACAGTAAGTGTTTCAAACCGAAATGTGTCCGCGGAACCATTTTTGTCATACAAGCGTTTGGAAATGCACATGGTTGTGAGTATTGAGACCTCCAGATCATTAAAGTTTTTTTTAAAAAACAAACAAGAAGTTGTGACATAAAAAAGACAACAAATTTGGCGCCATTGAAAGTCACGCTAAAGCATAAAAAAGACCTGCTAGAATTTATGAATAAAAGAACTGCAAATATGGGCTTTATTATATAGCTTTAAAGTAACAATGTTTTAAGGGTGATAAACACAGAGGTAAGGAGCAAGTGAGGAGTCAGTCAATTTACCTGTCAATCCCAGTGATTTGGCCAGTCAGGGGTGGGCTTAGACATTTTGAACCTATCACAGCCAAAGAATCACAGGAGTCACTAACACAGCTAGCAATGTTTGATTTTACTGCCCCACAAAAATAAAAGCATGATCATTTCCTTAATACCACCTGTGCTTAAAAAAGAAATTAAGGAAGTAAAAGTAAAAAAAGAAATGTTTTTATTGTTTTATCTATTCTGCACAGGACTCCCACAGCATCAGCAGCAGGTGCTGGTCTCATAATCAGTGCAGCGTAACCAGAGATCTTTTTTTCCCCTCTGCATTCTTGTTCAGTGACATATACTGGAGCCTACATCACACACACTGCAACTCAACCCTGCAAACCCTGAGGGACGTCTTAATGCTAGTAGAAGCTAGCTATTGTCGGCAGCTATGTTTGGTGTAACTCCTCTGACTTTCAAATCTGAAAGTACCACGAGTTCCCTTTAAATGCTATAATTTGAGAGTGTACTTATGTTTAATTGACTTTTTTTTTGCAGCTATAATCGTGAGTACAGTGTGCATCTTCTCAGCTTTTAAAATAACCCTAGCCAGCTCATAATGGGGTCAAATGCTAAAATCAGTCAATAAATTCATACTTGAATTTGGCATCTGTTTCCCCTTACACTCTAACTGTATTCGTTTGGTATAGCACAGACGTATGTGCAAATATATTCTGAGAACTTTCATATATAATCATCATAAGCATATGTATCACTACTTTGCTATTACATTATCAACTGTAGAATCAAATCTAACCTCTTATGTGTCACTTTCTCTTTTTACAGCAGTCTCTCAAAAACATGACTCCTTTATAAGTAGTGAAAACAACAAACATTTGATTAAGGGTATGAATACCACATTAGCCATGAAGCTTCACATTTTCAATCCTTCCACCTTTGTAACAAAGACAGGACTTCTTTTTATTGCCCTAAGAAGTCGGGATTTTTTTATTGATCCTGCAGAAATGAGGCAGACCAAAAGTCTCTTTCAAGCTCTTTTAAGGTTCTTTTTTTTTGCTTTCAAATTCTGTTGCTCTCCTTCTTTGCCCTCTTTGCATCATCCAAGAAGGGGGATTGGAGAAGGATTTTCTTTTTGCCAGGTAAAGTTTCCACGGTTGGTGTGGTTGTTCCACTATTTCGGTTGCCAGGGAAAATAAAAGCGCTGCCTTTCTCCTGTTTTGCAGTCTACATTTTCCCAGGAGATTTTGAACCTGCTTTCCATCAGAACTGCACCATGAGAACAAGGCTTACTGGTGTCCGGTCTGAATGCTGATAGCATCGTTGCATTTTGCAGCAGCAGTTTGAGCATAAACGTAAAGTAACTTTAAACTCCCTTTAGGTATACGGCATAGTTGAGTAATCCACATGAGGTGCCATTAGTGATAATGACACCCTGGATGATAACATGGTAGTTAATACAGTGCTCCGTGTTCTGTGTAAAACTTGACTTTTTGGGTCATGATAGTCAAGTGACCTGTCACATGGATTAAGAATGCCCTGAGCAGTGAGTCTTATGGCTTTAGTAGTCCCATGCACTCTTTGGCCACCTGTCTCTGGAATAAGTAAAGGCAAAATGTAAAAAACCCCAAACAAATCAAATCCGCCCACTGTCGTTACCCTCCTATGTGCCAGTCAGTCCTGAAGACGCCTGTGTGTGGTGGCTCTTGATGTTTTGACGCCTGCTTTCTTTCAAGTTCTTGATTTGACTTTTCAATTCAATTAAATTCAATTCAATTTTATTTATATAGCGCCAAATCACAACAAAAGTCGCCTCAAGGCGCTTCATAGATACAGAGAAAAACCCAACAATCATATGACCCCCTATGAGCAAGCACTTTGGCGACAGTGGGAAGGAAAAACTCCCTTTTAACAGGAAGAAACCTCCGCAGAACCAGGCTCAGGGAGGGGCGGGGCCATCTGCTGCGACCGGTTGGGGTGAGAGAAGGAAGACAGGATAAAGACATGCTGTGGAAGAGAGACAGAGGTTAATAACAGATATGATTCAATGCAGAGAGGTCTATTAAACATAGTGAGTGAGAAAGGTGACTGGAAAGGAAAAACTCAATGCATCATGGGAATCCCCGGCAGCCTACGTCTATTGCAGCATAACTAAGGGAGGATTCAGGGTCACCTGGTCCAGCCCTAACTATATGCTTTAGCAAAAAGGAAAGTTTTAAGCCTAATCTTAAAAGTAGAGATAGTGTCTGTCTCCCGAATCCAAACTGGAAGCTGGTTCCACAGAAGAGGGGCCTGAAAACTGAAGGCTCTCCCTCCCATTCTACTTTTAAATACTCTAGGAACAACAAGTAGGCCTGCAGAGCGAGAGCGAAGTGCTCTAATAGGGTGATATGGTACTACAAGGTCATTAAGATAAGATGGGGCCTGATTATTTAAGACCTTGTATGTGAGGAGCAGGATTTTGAATTCAATTCTGGATTTAACAGGAAGCCAATGAAGGGAAGCCAAAACAGGAGAAATATGCTCTCTCTTTCTAGTCCCTGTCAGGACTCTTGCTGCAGCATTTTGGATTAGCTGAAGGCTTTTCAGCGAGTTTTTTGGACATCCTGATAATAATGAATTACAGTAGTCCAGCCTGGAAGTAATAAATGCATGAACTAGTTTTTCAGCGTCACTCTGAGACAGGATATTTCTAATTTTAGAGATGTTGCGCAAATGGAAGAAAGCAGTCTTACATATTTGTTGACTTTTCTTGACAGTCTCCCCAAAGCTGCAGTGATTCCTGTTGAATGTGCACCTTTTTGCTATCATACTTTCCCTTTCCCATCTACTTTCCATGAATAAGTTTCGATTCAGCACTCTGTGAACAACGAGTCTTCTGTGGCTAACTGTCCTTACAGACGGTGTCGACGATCATCTTCTGGACAACTGTCAAGTCAGCAGTCTTCCCCACGGTTATAAAAGATCACTGACAGGTAAAGTGTCTGTGTAGATTCTCCACCAATCAATTCACCTCACATCCAAGAGGCTTTTAGAACTGAAGAAGCCTCTTGGATGAGAGGTGAAACATCTTCAAGAAATTTAAAGAAGTCCAGTTACTATCTTTCCGAGCTCCATAGGCAGGTAAAGTGAATAACATCAATCATCTTGTTGCAGTGCAATGTTCTGCTGGTAGAGCTTTGCATTCGAGCAGATGCAACTCTGACACGTGGCGGCTGCAGAAACGTTATGGTTGCGTATGACAACATGTGCCCCAGCACGCTCCAAATACAGCCCAAGAAAGCCTGGAAAACACAACAGGGTGCTGACTTTTTCTGATCCCAATCTGATCACACAGTGGCAGGATGTGCATAAATGAGCCTGACTGATAGAGGCACCACCCTGCCGGGACACCGTGAGAGGTCCAGCTTCCTGTCCGAATAGGTGAGAGCTTCTTTGGGTAGAATGAACAAGGGTAACTTAATATCGCAGCTGATCAGTGTATATTGTCTTTCTCGTTGTGCATAGAAACTTGGCAGATTTCCTTAAAAAAAAAGAAACTAATAACTTTGGTAATAGTATATTGAATTCAGTCAGCAATTCCTGCTGGTTGGGGTTCATCGAGCCCGGGTCTGTTAAAAAACTGACCATTGTGAAGTTAAAGACAGCTATGCAGAGACCAGGACATGTGGAATGACATTTTATTGCGCCATTAGTCATTTTTCAGACAACAAAGCTCCCTCAACATTAAAACAAACAGCAATGTACAAAACAGCACACCTTTGTTTTATTTTTTTGCCATCAACGGAAATTTAATAAGGTAGTGAGAGTACATAACAGAAAGTAATGGAGTGTAAGGACGCGAATTATGATGATGATGTCGAGATGTATAGGATGAGCTCGATGTCAAAGCCAAAGTAAGCACCATCGTCATATAGTCAGGAAAAGGCCATATTTCAGTAAGAAATATCCTAGAATGGGTGAGGAGAGGTTAAACATGATACAAGAGGGTCGTTATCACAGTTTTCAGACATTTTATCAACTAAAAAAACAAAACAAAATAAAACAAACAAAAAAAACCAAAAACAATATCGGTGTAGCACTACTTTATCATGCAATTTACTTTAGTAAACCTTCTGACACAGACAAAATATACTTCAATAAGTAGAACTCAATACATCTCTGTCCAGCAATAGTCACAAAGCCTGTAATTTATACTCTTTAAATGTGAGATCCCTATCAAAAATAATATGCAGATTTTTATTTTTCTTAATATATCTAAAGTGCAAGTATTTATCCATTTTTATTCAATGCTTTCTGTAAGTATAAAATACAAAGGAAAAAAACAGCAATGTTTTTCCTGTTTACATGTTATATTTTTCTGAAAGGAGGAGCATCATATATAACAAACCATATATATATATGTATATATATATACACACACACACACACGCCACAGATAAAATATTTTCGAAAGATACAACATATTATCTCTTATGGGGATGGTAAAGGGATTGAGACCAAACGGTGACAATGGGATATGTTCATTGTGCATTGACCCCACCCCCTTAAAAATCCAGGATCCATTTAACCCAACATCTCCAGAACAGCTTCAAGGACGTCTTCAAGAACTATACACAACAGTAGCTTTTACAGTTTGCGAACACGATGGACCCTACTGCTCGGTGCGTGTGCAAACAGAAGACATGCTGAATGAGCTCCTCTGTCTGTGGTTTTCTAATGAGTCATATAGTGCTTGGCTTTGACCAGAGGCTGCGATTGGTTGTGTGATTAACCAGAAAGTCCGAATGGCCAATGAAAGACTACAACACTGGAAACCAGAAACAGAGCACATTTGGTTGTTTTGAACACCTTAACAGAAGTTCAGTCAGTTCTTTACTTTTTTTGTTTTTTTAGTTAGTACTCGTATAGTCTGGTGGAGGCGCGAGCCGGCAGCCGCGTTTCATTTCTGGAAGTTTTCTGTTAAGCCGTCATATAGACGGTTTGTTTCCCACCTACAGCGGAGCCATCCTAGCAATCTGACACTGAGGTGCGTGCAGCAAGTAGATATCGCTGCATCTACAACTTAACCTCTCCTCAGTCTGACCAGGAATGGTCTGGTTACCTGTAGTCTGATCAACGAAAGAAAACGGCACACTTAAGTCAAATCTGACAAATGAATACTGCGGGCGAAAGTTCGGTTAACATCATGGTTAGAGATCACTAT